TAGGCGGATACAGATCATTGAGATTGGGGGTACACAAAAAGTATAGTAAATAAGGTTTGTGTTGGTACTGTTTCTAAAAAGGGTGGCAATGGTCTTGTTATGTTACAATTTTCTTATGAGAGAACGACTAAAATTGTATTGGTCATGCATAGGCGGTGTCAGGGCACCTATGTTGGGAGGTAAAAAATAACCCCCCTTTTTGGACGCCTGGATCCGCCTATTATAGCAAAAACGTGCCAAAAGAGGATGCACAATAACTTTGTATATGTTATCACATGATACCTTTCATTCACTGTTCGTAAAACTGGTGCACCATCGTGATCTTCGCCCAAATGACTCGCTTCACGAATAAGACCCCCCAATTCCCAGTGCTCTGGAGCCGCCCCTGGTAAAGTTATGAACTTGAAATTTTCAGGGAATGTGCCCAATTTAGTTTTAGGAAAAGTCAGAAAATTTCAGCATCGTAGCTTGAGCGGTTTCGGAGATATTCCCGAAAAACCTGAGGGGTGGATAAAAACAACCCCCCCCCCTGCCACTAATAGGGTTAACCCGCGCGCCGTTGAGATCTGGCAGGTTCCACGTCCTGTTGGGGGGGGGACAAGGGCCCCCCGTCGTATCTCCGGAACCAGGTCAGAAAATTCAAACGGCATTCGAAGGAGCTCATGGAGATGCACAAGATAGGATATCGATAACCTTTTTTCGTTTGATATGAAATCGTAATCAGCTCCCCAAAAAAACTCCATAGCAACCTCACTTTACGATGCTCTAACAGGTCCCGATTCTCCCGAATTTTTGGTCATTGACCTGACCTGGAAGGTCAGCTAATGACCTAGAACCTTAAAATTGGGTATCATCGGCTTCATCTCGTCACGGGCAACACGCTCGTTTTTTTCCGCGAAGCTTTACTCGATCAGGGGCCAAAAGGCAAGGGGCATCCAACAGACCCCCCCCCTTCCTATACGAATTCAGGGCTGGGCTGGCAAAACACCAATATAGTTAGGCGGCGAGGGTTAACGTACGATATTATCTAACAGTCCACCGATTGTGCTACCTACCTCACCTGAGTTCCACATTATCCCCGCGCCCAAAGCATTTAACGTCTGGTGAAATCGGATTGGCAACCTGTGTGAGCTCTGTAGGAGTGCGAGCTTTAGGAGGGCGCTGACCCAACAGGATCTCTGGTATGAGAAGGGCTGGGTGATGTCAAGTCCGGTAAAAGACTTCAAAGGAACAATTAGTTTGTTATGCAGTTTATTCACGTGAGCACCAATGACTGATCACGCTTTGGTACAGAAATGTTACATGTAGTTAGCTTCCGAAACGCATGATAGGACGCATCCCATAAAAAGAAATCTAGAAGGAGCCGCCAGTTGAGACTGTCCATGGTCGCGCCGAGACTAAATTGGGAAAGTTCCTGGGACTGGGTAAGGGGTGAACGTTCAGACTGAGTTGGTGCAAACAGGGCCTGGCCGGATAAGGCTAAAACATTTCGCAAGTCATATTAGTCCGTATGTACATACATTGCACACAGTACATACATGACACATGCACGCCCTGGTGAGAGCGCGCCGGCCTGGTCGCAGCAGCGCAGGGACTGTCGCCGTTTTTGCGTCTTGCCGCAGGAGAGCCGGTATCGCCGGCAATCTAGAAAGGCGCCAGTTGTCAGACCTGTGCAGTGAGCGAGGGAGGAGGAGAGATGGGAAAAGGGGAAAGAGAGAGAGAGAGAGAGAGAGAGAGAGAGAGAGAGTAGAGGGAGGGAGAGGGGGAGGGGATCGAAAGGAGAGAGACGAAACAAAGAGCATAAGCCCAGAGTTTGGTTAGCATGCTGAGCGAATATTAAATGAGCATCATACCAAATTTAAGCATAAGTAATTTTATAATATAAGGCCCCTTATGGGGTTCATACCAAGGCAACTTGGTTCTTCCGTGAACATACAATGGCCATCGGCATACCACCCAGCAGTGGTGAACAATCAGATTCCTTGTAAGGACAGACGGTTTTGCAGCGTCAGCTGCCTGGCACGACAGGGAGGGGATGAGTTCTGGCAGATTCCTCTCCCTGCCCCGGTCATACCGGTCTCTGCAGAAACACAAAGCCATGGAGCTAGCAACCATTTCTGACTGGATGTAAAACAAAAATGGCTTGGAAAGGTCCATGACCGACCAAAGAGGACGAGTTCCCACGGCGCACGGACTCATCCGTAGCCTGAGAAGGATCGCGAGCGGGGCACCGGGAGATGTGGAGGTCATGAACCTGAGCTTTACTGCGTAACAGTGATGTGAGGGGATCAACAAGGAATCGCGCTAATATTAAGGCATGCGGCGCAGAGGACAGTCCTCTGTTCAGTCCACCGCTGCCGCAGAGCAGCCAATGGTGCCGAGACAGACAAGCGAATTAAAATGGCAATTTGATCAGGTATCTACCGCTAAGAGTGATGTGATGTAGGTAATTGAGGTGCGGTGACGGTAGATTTTGGTTTCTAGTGGATTGTGCTAGCTTAGCACACTGTACTACACAACATAGGCAACTACACAACATAGGCATCGTGCATACACTAATCTACCGATAGATTGTAGTCTATTGATATTCTTTTCACGGTAACTGTCACATACAGCCAAAGAACGATTGAGCATATTAATGGCAGATTACTGAACAGAGAACTTTATGAACTCATATTTAAAGCCGATGAGTGATTAATGAGCTAGAAATATTAGGAAGGTTATGTCTTCCACTTTTATTATGACTCGAAATCATCTATAGATCTCCTTCGACTAAGTTCTTGTCATTGCACATTAGCCTAAACTGTCAACAACCAATTAGAAAGCATAATCGTCCTATCACTGGCGATCGATGGAGCGCTCCTGACGTTCCTACAACGGTAGCACTAACTATATGCTGGTGCATTCCAATCATCGAAATAGCTCATGCCATTATCCTGCAAAAAGTGGTTAGCTGTGAGCTTGCAGCCTTAAAGGAAATAGTTCACTTTTTAACATGGGTTTTGAACTGGAATAGCAGTTCCGTAGCCTGGGCTGAGACGAGCATAAATCAGGAGCTTTTACAGCCCAACGATCACCCTAGGCAAATATATTCTATTTCTCGTCCCGAAAAATGTGTCTTGCGTTGAGGATGTGTGCCTTGCATATATTCGCATCCAGTATGAAACGAGCATGGGTACTGAAAATTCTTCAGAAACTAGAGAAATTATCTACGAGAACTCTAGAGAAATTCTCGTACTGATCAATAAGGACATTCAGCAGCAGCAGATCGCCCAAATGCCGGTGGCCGCGATCATTTCTCTAGTTTCTGAAGAATTTTCGGGACCCATGCTCTTTTCATACTGGATCGCCTGTGCCTTACAAAAACTGAAAAGTTCTTCTTATTATCAAAATATAGAAAATAATCTTTTCTTATAAATAGGTTTTATTTTCTTTGCTGATCATTTTGAACATAAAAAATCATAAATCCATTGCAAAAAAATAATTTCGTGAAAGTGAACTATTTCCTTTAACCGGTTACGCACTTAAACTTGTATTGCATTCGTTTATGCGACTACCCACATTTTTTACCAAATATAGGTAGGGTAAGGTGCCTAATTAGCGACCCACTTAATTTGAACCGTCATTGCTCACGCTCTCTGGGTGCCACTGTGTTACTGGATTGATTTTCGGAGAGATCGTTCATTTTTCTATTAAAATATAGTCATTTTCTGCCCCAATATTCACTTACTTATTTGTATTGAGCATTTTGGCAAACCATTGCAAAAAACGCTAATAGGGAACTCTTCCCGATTAGCAACCGGGGAGGGTCGCTAATAAGTCTATGGGTTTCCCCATACTAAAAATGGCAAAAAATGCGACGCCTGAAAAGATGAAATATGATCTCAAAAAGGTGACCTATACGCAAAGCACTCAATCACTCGGACAGGAACGTTTATCCAACACATTTACGTAAGTAAAAACTGATCACGTGATGCACCGAAGGCGAAAAGAAGGCGGAAACCCAAATTTTGCGGGCTATCTTCCTATGATATTCGAGGTCCGCGCTGAATTCGGCACCCCTGCAGTCGGTGACGACATTTGGCATCCCCTGCCACACATTGCAAGCTTCAGCAACACCTCATTTTCATTTCTCTCTTTTCCCCTTTCTTTCCCTTCTTGAGCTATTTGCGACCATGTCAGGCGCAAATAGGAAATATGAGATGCGACACATTTTTAACCGCCATGCTGTGCACAGTTGAGCGATTCACTATGGGAGAACGGCAATCAATTAAAAAAGGAATGTCGATTCAGAATAAAAAAGGTGCATCATCCTAATGTGCATCGCTTTTCATCAGAGAGGGCCCAAACACACACGTTTTGGATAAGAAACTCGTCATTTTTATTTAAACTCACCTGAAACGTCCCACCAGAAACATCAACAACCGGAAAATAATTTAATTTGATAACCAAAGTATGGCTGACCTTTTGACGATGTTTTTACCCCGTTTTCTCCTGCCAGTTTTTCTGTAGGGAGGTAGGTCGCAAATCGGAAAGGGTCGCTAATTAGGCACCTTACCCTAATGGGTTACCATCCAGCTGAACTAGCTATAAGCACTAAGCAGCTGAAGCTGCTCATATATTCTAGCAGCTTAAGCTAACAAGAACGAAGTATCTAGGTGTAACTTGAAAGTTAACACAAGCATCTCTTTTGCTGGTCAATATAAGTTATAAAACTCCAATTATTCAATCATTAGTGTAGGTGAGAATGAAAAACACATGAGACTGGGAGGAAAATGGCAGGAACCTTCTCCTTCGTCCGGTCCTCTTTGACTGGCGGGAAGGGTCCTGTGAAGCCTGCGGAAAGGGGGGACGTCTACAACCGGCGCGGCGGGGAGGGTTCTCTGCGGCCGCCGGGGAGGGTTCTCTGCGGCCGCCGGGGAGGGTTCTCTGCGGCCGCCGGGGAGGGTTCCTGTGCGGCCGCCGGCGGAGGATGCTGCCGCGGCGGCCGGGGAGGGTTCTCTGCGGCCGGCGGCGGAGGATGCTGCCGCGGCGGCCACCGGACGACCTTTCACTGAGGCAGGGGCGCCACAGGGACCGCCAGCAGAGCCGCCACCCGCCACCAGGCAGTCGTGGTCCGGAGTCTCCCCGAGAAGGATTCGCCAGCGCATCTCCCCAGCATTCAGCCATGGTGACACTGCGACTAGGTTAGTGCAAGCGGGTGGTGGGATGTGGAAAGACTTCTGCTAGGTGCAATCAAGTAGCGTTATAGCATTGATTTTTCACGGCGAGTAATTTCTAGGGATAGCCCACCGTGCTAACTAAATAGAATATGCTCTCCAATCTTATAAAACGAAGTCGTAAAGTACAAAGCTTGCAACTGTCTTTGTTATTGCACTTTTCATACTGGAATTATCTAGTACCAACTACATGACCTTTGCTGACCTGCAGCTCCGGCAGTCCACGCCTCCGTAGTCGGTTGTGCCTCGACACACGTGTAAGGATGCGTCTGCGGGGAGTGCGTTGCGAGGGTCCTAAAAATATATTCCAATTATTACTATCAATTCACCGACATCGTTTCCAAGAACCATGCTGTTGCCTGATGCTGCTAGAAATTATTAACAGTTCTGTTTGCAAAGCTTGAAGTGCTCATAAATATGAACATTCCTTTTAGAGCCCAAATTGATTTTATGTATTCATATTTAGCACACGGAGCTGAAACTGCGCTCATATACCAATTGAAGTTTTTTCCAAGCGAAACTTGGCCAGCAAGATATCAGTAAACAAAAGGGCTACAAAATACCTATTGCATATTTTTGCAGGCTCACCTCCTTCTTAAAAAAAATGAACTTAAAAATGGGACCTCTTCTATTTTTCTTTACCGTAATCTGACCAGGCTCTATTTTGGTGCGATTGCTGGGTAAAGTAAATGGTCACATATTCGTAGACCTATGTCTTTTAAAACATTTCATTGTTGTTAGTTAGGTGGCTCAATGAACTATTTATCATCATTCATTAGCATTTGTTTCTGTGTTGCAAACCAATTCTGCGTTGTTACAATGAAAAACGGAGCTGCTAGGAGTTAGGACATTGATTAAATTCAGGCTTAACCCGCGCCCCGCTCGTCATAGGCTATTTCCGGACCCTGCCATCCGTTAGAGGGGCCGTCCCACCCCCTCCGAAGATCTCGTCTCGGAAATTTACGTGCCGATTCTCAAAAATTCAAGTATGATCTGAAGGCTTCGCACATGAATTATTAGTATAGCCCGAATAATTTTACTTGCAGGGCACTGATGACGTCGCAGGTCAGGTCAAAGTAAAAACTGTCAACATTTTGGTATGTTCACGCTGCGGGCTCTGAACGTCGCTAAACAAGTTATAGCCACATCATTTTTTAATTACACACTTCTAAATGCAGCGCTGAAGATGCCCTTAAGATTCTGAGCCTGTACTTGGCGTTTTTCAGGTCAAAACTAGGGCACGCTAGGGCACAAAAGCTCATGGAATTTTTAAGGTATGTGCGTTATGAGACACATTTTCTGCGGCCCAATTTGGCTATAGAGCTTAACAATACCTACTAGCCGTTTTCACGACGGGCTATCCGGCGACTGCACCTAATTTGACCAAATGTGCATCTAATCTCTTTTAAAGCAAATATCGTTATCTTATGAATTTATTTTAGTGTTTTAATCGATGATACTCTCTGATAATATGACAAAGCAGGCATATAAGGAATTAGTGCAACCCTAGCTGATAGCTACTAAGAGACACACTGAACCTAATTTGACCAAATCTGCACCTAATCTGCACCAGATAAGCACCAAATGTGTACCAGATGGCTGTCGTGAAAACGGCTACTGTCGCTTGTGGCGTCTGAATCCATTTTAAACAGTTTTAAATGAATGTCAGGTCACGGTCAGGTCAAAAGAGGCAGATTTTCAAGTTGATTTTTTTTACAAAATCGACAAAAAAATGTATGCCTATCGAATGCAGTTTGAACTCAGGAACACAATTGTGCTATTTGTTTTGGTCCTTGTGAGGCAAAAAAAAGTACTGGAAGCTGCAGTTTAAATTTGATAATGATGATATAGGTAGTCGCCTATTGAAAAATGTGAAAGCGGATAGCTTTTCATTTTTTAAGAAGTCGGCCTAAAATGTTTCGGAGTAATTCATCTGTATGTGTTTTTTCCTAAATATCCCGGTTTTTCTTGAAAAACAATACGAAAGATGTGGATCAACATTACAAAAAAATGTATTTTTCTAGTTTTGACTTTTGACATATGTTTTTTTAAACAAAATCTACATTTTGGAAATCCAAGATAACAGTCTGATAAAAATAATTGTTGGCTATCAGCTCATGCTAAGAAATTGGTGCAAGTTTAAAAACTGGGCTGTTGAAAGCGATTGGCGTAGAACCATGTTTCGCATCCAAATTGGCCACACAAAACGTCACTCTGACGTCACTTCCGGTCATCCTAATTGGGTCTCCATGTTTTCCGTCTCTCAGCATGTGTAAAATTAATGCCGTAAGGGATATACACTATACAGAGTTTTGTGGGTTTACTCGTCTTCGATCAAGAGACATGGAGGAACTGAGGACAGGGGAGGCCGCTTCCCCCCTCCCCCTCCCCCACCCCCAACGGAGATGTTGATGTGTAGACAAATATATTTTTAAAAAATCAAAAATATTTGGTACCTCTTAGCATATTTAAAAAATATTATCCTAAAAAAAAAAATTTACTTGGACCTCAAGCAAGAAAACCATGTAACGATTGCATTATATCTTACACGGCACGACTTTCTAGAGCAGTTGTTTTACCGGTTCCGTAAAGATCACAGATGCATAAGTGAACGATGATCATTTATTAACATTGCCACCATCCAGCATCATGTACTCTCAACAATAACCATAGCAATAACCTACAGGGTTAGCTTATCGTGTCGTAAATGGCCACTGAACAGCCGCAAACATATTTACATGTGCCATCGGCTATCCCGTGAAGGCACGTTGATGCCCATCCAAGGATGTTTTTTGATGCCTCTGCTGGCCAAGGCCAACTCGCAGGATGAAGGTTACAGGTGTGCTTACTATCCCAAGACCGCTTGTTCAAACGGATAATGTGGTGAACGGTGTCCGCAAGTAAAAAGTTAGAGATCTGCCTCAAGTGCTATTTGACTGCCAGAATTGAAAGTTGACGCATTGGAGATAGACAGGTTTTGGTAAAGGTCATTACATAAGTACCTATGAACCCCGTAAAATACACAAGCCGTTTCGAATTTAAGAGTAAAATACACAGACGATTTGTTAGAGAAATGCTACCGAGCAAACTGTATTTTTACTGCGTTGTTCTTCCATATTTTTCCCAGAATAGACATTACACCAATCTATTTAATCGGCTATGATTGCCATGAAAGGGTATTGGTTTTCGAATTAATGTCGCTCTAGCATTAACTTTAGGTATTATGAAATAACCTTGGTCTTCCTTGCGCCGACAAGGAAGACCAAACTGATCTACCTTATACAGTACTGGCTTTCATGAGCTGGGTATCATCAATTACTATAACTATTTCTTCTGTTCAACCTGCTACTAAAGAAGGATCCCGACACGCCTCAATCAGCTGTATATGAATTAGCGTCAGACGGGCTGCTTCCCGCTCCGTATCGGACGGGAAGCTTCCCGCCCCGTATCGACCTTGACCGAGCTCGCTGGTTCCGCTGGATTCCCACGCTCCGCAGCGTCCGCGCGGAACTGGCTCATCGGCACGGGACCGGCACGGGCTGCCGCGCCGGTCTCACGGAGTGCACGGGACCACCGGAAGTCTGGAAGATGGCGTGAGAGATGGTGTGGGCTTTTTTTCTTTTGTTGGGTTAGGCCCTTTCGGTCCAATTAGACCATTTCAGAGCCGGGAGGATGATAGGATATAGGGGGAGACATTGGTCTGGGCAGGCACCCTAGTGAGTCGCCGGGGCTGAGCCCGTCCAGAGGACAGGCCACCCAGCCCCAAGGCACTCTGCACTGCACCCGGCTACGGGGTGCGCTCCCTCGGGAGCAGCGGTGCCGCTCCAAGGGAGCAGCCCGCATGAGATAAAGTTGCCTGTCCAGCCCGGAGGGGGGTTGCGGCGTGGAGGAGAAGGATTTCAGTATCCTGAGGATAGAAGCACGGAACGATGGTGTGGGCTTAGGATGATCGGAATATATATGCGTCCGGTACTTAGCCATGGGTCCGGCTTTTCGAACACTCCCAGCACTCAACAGGCGACCAGTCTGAAAAAGTAGATCTGCATAATCGTTGTCCAAATGAGGGAAGCGAACAGCATGAAACCGTCAATGTCTGAATGTTTGAGTGACATCTAAATATAAATGTTAATTCAGTACAATATCGCATATAGCTTGATTTTCTATGAGAACAGATACTCCTAGATGTCACTCATAGTAATAACTAATAATTGTTTCAGAGCATAGGTTGTGCAGTGTGCACCATTTTTTTGTGATAAGATTTTAGTCTAAGCACTGAGCAGATGACTGAACGTCTAGTGTAGAGCAGGGTTTATCAGAGTGCGGATCAAATTAATGATTTGCGTCGAGACAGAACAAATGATGTGCGATGACAGACGTTTCGGTGATGTCCGAACAATGCGTGACCTGCGAATCACCGTGTCACCTCGTGACAAATGACCGGCATCCCTGCGTCCCCCGAATTACCCTCCCAGGAACAGCTCTGCCCAGCGCGACCGGCTGCGGCCCTTGCGCAAAGGGAAGTCCATTTGTCTTGTTGCACAAACTTGTCCACATCAGAAATGCACCCCGTGTGCATCTATCTATCCACGTGTACAACTTCTTGTCCACGACAGGCTCTCCGCTGTAGAAAGTCCGCCCCTCACCTTCTCCCGTCCTATTCTCTCTCTCCCGGCTCTGCGCCTGTTACGGTGCCGTTGGCGGCTCCCAACACCCCTCGCCGGACGATGACCGTTTTTGTTGCGGTGACCGGTCGTTATGAGTCGGTGTAATACCTCCTTCCGACCCCTCCCACCGCCTCGCCGACGCGTATACTCCCACTCCGCCAGCGAATGGCGACAACACACCACTCACAAAAACTACCGAGCTGTGACCGGCGGGTCAGCCGCCGGCGATAGTTCCACCGGCCGCCGCCAGGGGCCCGGCAGATGAGCCCGGGTCAAGGTCACCGCCGGCGGCCAACGGGCGTCAGGGGGCAATCATGTGTACTAGGGCGGGGAAAATGATGGGCTGCGGCGGCCGGCGAAGGACCTCGAAGCCCGTAATTGTTCAAAGGTCGGTGGCAGCAGTGTGGAAGCAGTGACGTCTTTGACACACATCCTGTGGCAATGTTCCGGCGCGGTGTGGGGAGCGTGATTGGTGTAACGCCTACTTAGCGCTTTAATTTCGTGGAAGACGTAACCTTTGATTGAATTGTGGAATTCCGCATTGTTTCACCACCCCTAACGATAGACTGATGCGACAGTTCGATAGTGCTGCCCTATCAGCGTCAATGATAGAAAAACCGTTAATAGCAGTTGGTCCTTTAAGAGGCTTACCAAGATGGTAAAAGAATACATGAAGCAAAATTACATACTTTTGTCTTCTCACGCGCGCAGAAACGCATTGAAGAGTATCATCGTACTGAATTGGTTGCTTAAATTGATACTAATTTGGCTAGAATTCACTCCCGCATCCCATCCTCCACCCGTGCCCTGGTCAATGGTCGGTCTCAGAGAGAACGACCGGTCTCCCGGCTGGTCAGTGCCGTGATCACGGCGGCACGGCCGCACGCTCTCCCCCGCGGCCAGTGAGAGTGCAACGACACGGCTTGCTCGTTAGTGACTGTTTTGCAATGACCCCGGACCCTGCCGCGCACGGCGGGTCAGGAGCTGCTGGTAAAACGGTGACGGTATGGAACGGCATGTCTAAGGCAAGGAGAGTGGGGAGACGCACCGCTGAGAGAGGACGCGTTGTGCTAAAAATACTGACTGGTGTAGGGTTGCGGCCATTGAGTTATATGATAATACCGGGTAGAAATGTTGATGATAAAAACATGTTTTGACGGGTCAGAAAAAAATAAGTGATTCTTTAATCGAACACCCTGCTGAGTGCCGAATCTTATTATCACACCTTTGCCTACTAGCCGATATGTTGATAGGCTGTGTTACGTGTTGAATCTTTGTTGAATCCCGCAATATGAGGATTTGAATATTTCTGGTCTCTGGCCATGAAATATTGCATTGACACTAATCCATGGGCAAGCTTTCATCCTATGATGAACTATCACTGTCATCCTATATGTGTTACAGCAAAATAAGCCTATAGAATATACCACAAGATATATTTACACACGTGTGACTAGCGGTGACTTGTGTTTGCTTGTGCAGCTTTAGAAATCGAGGAGAAAGTTGCCGAAGAGATGCTCACCAAAGAGATAGAAAGGGATAAAAACTCAGCGTGGATGTGAGACAAGAGCTTATTGGTTGCAATGCTCACTTTGTCTGTCTGAATAGCATAAATAAAGACTTGTGCTTTGCAGCAACTCTGCATTCTAGTAATCGTTTAACACCGATTGCCTCTGTTTCCAGTTGCGCTGCTGGCGCTCTGTGCGCTGGCCGCCGCGCAGAACGAGCAAAAGTCGATTGCCGACTTCAAGAAGCCGTTCCGCGTCGTCGCCAACCTGATTGTCGACGAGAACTTCTTCCTGCTGCGTGAGCTGACTGAGGAGGAGCAGAGGACCGGAAAGGTCGACCTGGAGGATCCCTTCAATGAGAAGAGCCGGCCGCGCACCACCACCACTACCACCACCACGACCACCACCACCACAGCCAGCAGCCGCTCCGCGCTGGCCGGGCGGTTCGCGCAGGACATCTCCGGCCTCCTCCCGCCGCCCTCCTTGGCTGCCGCTCCCGCCGCCCCCGCCGCCCGCGCCCCCGCCAGGCCCTCGAGCTCGGGAGCGGGCCGCTTCTTCCCCCGCCGGCCCGTCGTCTCGCCTTCCGCCGCGGCGGCGTCCGCGAAGCCGACGCGTCGCGGAGGAGTGAGGAGGAAGGTCGTTCGTCTGCCGGCCCCGCGTCCCGTCGCCATCACCACCACCACTGAGGCGGCGCCGGTCACCACTGAGAAGCCCACCAAACCCACCAGGCCCACCACCGCCGCTCCCGTCGCCCCGGTCGCCATCCGCCGTCAGCCGGCCCGCGCCCCCGCCCCCGCCCTGGCCGCCCGCGCTCCCGCTCCCGCTCCCATCCCTGCCCTGGCCGCCGACCTGGCTCCGGCGCCGGCCCTGACGAGGTTCGACGAGGCGGCGGCGGCCGTGAAGAGGATTCCGGGCACCTCGCGACGGGTGGCGCGCGTGGAGTCTGAGCGCGAGAGCGACATCAACTCGCTGCACCGCCGTCTGCCCGGTGGCTCGCAGACGGTCGTGCGGGACATGCATTCATCCGACTTCAGGTGAGTGACCGCGGGGTGGAGGTGGGGGGCCTCAGGTTGTAGGAGGATGACCTCAGGGCGTCTGTTGTTACCTCAGGTTCCAGTTGCATAAATTATGTACCTCAGGGTGTGCATTTATGCATGAGTACCTATCTACCAAATGTAGGTTACCTACCTCCACCGGTTCACAGGATTTGGTTTACAGGACGGAGAATACAGCATAGCACAGTTGCTGACTGAATGATGACGATATCCGACAAAATACTGGATTTAACTAGTTAAACCGACATTCATGAAGCACAAATGTATTCTTTAAAAAAAAAGCGCGACGCTTATTACCTTGACAATGACTGACACTGACAAGTGACGGCTGGCGTGCATAGTTAAACAAAATTGTGATTAATCGTGCAGTAAATTCATCCGAGGGTCTCAGACTGCTGTTGTCAGTGTAATACGCGCAGGAGCAGCTTTTTCTGCATGATCCCTATGATCCATGGCTTAGAAGCATGTCTCAAATCCTGTCTCAAATGAACGTCGCACTGGCATGTTATTAGGCATGCGACACTACACCTGACATTTCCTTCACACTATATTCCTCTTGGTGTCTTCACCGATACATTTGTATATTGAGGCTTGACAATGGAAGATAGCTGGATCAATTAGTTCCATTTTGCAGCATAATGTTTCAATGGTGAAAACACGTCACTTTTGTTGACACCCAGAGTAACAGTTTGCTTCAGGCGGTTGGCCTTGGATTTGTAAAGACAATGGACCAAGATCCCATTCATAGCTGGCAACAAAGTAGTACACACGTTTCCAGAACAGCCGTCCCCTTGTAAACTTGAAGCAGATCCCATTCATTTGACGCTGTCGCACGATATTTTCGGAACTGATGACGCGTTGTATAATAACATTGCGGCATCCGCTGGAAAGTATGAACGAAACGTCTACATGCGTCTACATACGTCTACATACGTCTACATACGTCTACATTCAAGCGAAACAGCTTTAAATTAATCCTCTAGGAAGCCCATCATTTGCCCATTCATCTTTTTCTCAATCTGTCTCCAATCTTGAAAATGAACTAGCGTTAGCAGAACTAAATGTACTAAAAAATGTATTTGCCATTTAGCACCGACTACCGAACGGTAAAACATTATTCAACTTTGACATCAGTGCAAAAAGTGCAACATGTATCATCATTAGCACTGTGCGTCAAAGGTTCAGTCTATATTCGTCATTCAACTTGATCAATGCCTGTAACAAGCGAAACATCATGTCGATAGTTATAAGTTTCAATTAGGATTCAGGGGCAACTTTCATTTAATTTACTTCGGCAGAAGAAGCGGTTCTCAAGCGAAACAGCTTTAAATTGATCCGCTAGGAAGACCATCATTTGCCCATTCATCCTTTTTCTCAATCGCTAGCTCCAATCTTGAAAATGAGCTAGCATTAGCAGAGCTTAATGTACTAAAAAATGTACTAAAAAGTAAAAAGTATCTTGTTGAACATCTGATCAAATACTTGTCACTCGGCTCGTTGAAATCTAATGTCTCTGTCAAAATAATCTTCATCCTTTTATCATTCCTAATTATTGCGATCGAGCCTAAATTCTTCAGAACCTCAGCGTGCGTGTAAGGTATCAGCGACGCGAGCTGTCGTGATTTCGTCACACACCCATCCCGAAACGGGCGAGCCACTCCTCGGCAGCGGCCGGCGCGGCGGCCACCCATCGGTATATCTCCGCGCACCATCGGGTCGGCGCGTGCAGCCACCATCGAATGAGCTTACGTCATTGGAGGTCTATCTCTGGACGAGATCGGACCTTCAGTCGAGACGGAGACACGTCACGGGAGATGGGAGGCAACATGCTGGAATTCGGAGACACGTCACCTGTTGGAGAATGGATACGATGGTAAAGGACGAGACCGGTATGACCACGACCCCGCCGCCCGTTTCGACACATGCGAGGATGAGCCGCACGCGGATGCGACTCGCGGTAGTGGTGAGTCCTGTGGTCTGAGGCAGGTTTCTAGCGTCAGGAAATCCACACGAAGATGCTGCGGTGTTTCGCCGCAGTCGCCACTCTCGAACACGTTCTGGAGCAAGATATGCGGTTTTTGCAAAAGTGGTGAGATTCACTCGTGTTACTGTTACAGCCGGCGTGAAAAACCCGGATGACCAGGGGCCATAATGGCATTACTCAAACGCTACCAGGGATGCGGACTGGTCTGTGCCGGTCGGTACCTGCCTCTGAGGAGCGCCCGCGCCGGGATCCTCTCTGCACGCCGGGGGGGATCACTCACACCTCGGCGCGCGCCAGTCACTCCGCCGGGAGCTCCGGGGGCTCCGGGGGCTCCGGAGCGCGCCCCTCCGGCCGGACGGTGCCCCAAGGTGACCGTCAGCAGCCGCTGGGTGACGCCGAACCGTCACCGCAGCGGCGGTCAGTATAATCTCCTCGACCGTTGCCTCATCACCGCGTCTCCGGCGCCGCAAACGTCGCGTACCGGCTAACTTCAGACGCGCAAAGCACAGAGCTGGTCCTCGGCTCTGCAACGAAAGTGAAAGCTAAGCGGCGGATGTCGACACTTCCTGGATTTTATGGTAATTTGTCTCCCAGCTAAGGTGACCGAGACGGCGGCTGCTAGCAATGCTAACAAATTCAGCGGGAAGGGATTTTAATATAATTAGATAAATAAAAGAAGTTGACCTTTTCCTCGACATCAAAAATGTAAAAAGCCGAATAATATATTTTAAAACCGTTTTTTTAAAATATATTATTCGGCTTTTTACATTTTTGATGTCGAGGAAAAGGTCAACTTCTTTTATTTATCTAATTATATTCAATATGTTCCTCGCTCGAGCACTTAGTAATATTACCAATCGGGAAGGGATTTTATCGCTGTTAGAACTGGTCGCTTCTGCAACGTCCTGCTCCTCGTTTTTTTACCGTCAGATGAAAAAACAATGGTAACTACATGGTTAGATTTCAGACATCTGCCGTATCAAACCTTGACTCCTGTTGTTTTGCCAATTAAATGCCCAAAGGCATTCACTTTCACTGAAACCGCGTTGTTCGACGACTTAGAGCGCATTTCTGACTGATACTCCGCATTCGGCACTTCATTTACATTCCCCAATCCTCGCCTTCGAGTAAAAACAGCTCGGGCATCCTATTCAGCTGCCATAGTGGCGTCTCGATGCCCCTTTTTATTCGATCTGGCAGGCATTCAGAAGATGAGATGCCTGCGCTTCATACCCCAACACAAACAAACGGCTGGAGTGAATGTCAGTCATTCGCCGCTCTCTCGTAGGTACTTGAAATGGTATTTGTATCGATATTTGAAACACGCTGCAATGCGGTTGGCATTCGACATTTGAACATTCCTCGTCGCATTATCCTCTAACCACAGACCAGGCTATTACTCAGGAGCTCATTCCAGGGAGTTAGTTTAACAACTGGATGCATACCATATACAAACAGCATCATTAGCCAATGTCTGAAAAGACATGGATAAATAAAAATCAGAAAACAGTATGAGCTCAAAAATTACGGTGTGTTTACATTTGAATGTCATTAGATGATTTTGTAAGTTCAGCATTATGTCCAGCTTGCATTGGCTGCTTGGCTTTATGGTCGATATTCGAAACATTGAAAAGCAAACAAGGGCTTAACCCTCGCCCTGGCAGGGGGGGGTCGATGCGACCCCCCCCCCTAAGGTTTTTCGAAGATAGCGTAAAAACGGCGGCGCGCAGCGCCGCCAAATTTGGCACACCCTATGGGGCAACCTTTTTACATATGACCTGAAAATTTCAGGTCCGGGTGACCTTGGGTCAGGTCACCAGGTCAGAAAAACCGGTACAAGGTCATGGTCAAATTTCAATTTTCTTTTTGCACCTGTCCAACTCACAGTTTTGCACTGATTTCCTTCAAACTTTCAGGATGTGCTAAGTTCACCGAGTTGTATAACATATAGTTCGGGTTTTTTTGAGGTCACTGACCTGAGGTCAGTTAGAGGTCATTACGTCGTAATGTTAAGCCTATGGGAAAATACTAAATTCGGAAAATACTGGAGATATCCGCTTCGTTCTATCACTTTTGTGCTTTGAAACCACAGTACTTAAAAGCAGGTCACTTGGTGCTTCTTTGTTTGGTGTACTTATCCATGGGTCAGGTCAAATGAGGTCAACTGAGGTCAAATGACGTTTTTGCCAATAACTTGGCACATAATGACGCTAGAGCTTAAAAAATGGTATCATTGTGTTCCTGGTGATCAGCCGAATCGAATGATATGCGATATGATGCAATTTGGTTAACTTGAACTTAATTTACTAATTTAAGTTTACTTAAAATTTAAGAAAAACTTTAAGTACACTTAAGCATGCTAAAAAGTATATCATTCGACGCGCCTTGACGTGCTGAGTTCACTGGTGCTTTTATTTTTGCTCTATCTTAATTAGATCAAAAGTTATAAGCGAAAAACTTTTGGCCTGTTTTTAGCGAAATTTTTACATTTATACCCCCCAAAACCCCCCTAAATATTGACTTAGAGCAACCAAATTTGCACAGGGGCGAGAACTCCAGGGGGCCCACCTACCTACCAAATTTGGTGTTTCTAGGTGCCATAGGAGCCAATCGCGAGGGGGGGGGTCGCATCGACCCTATATATATATATATATATATATATATATATATATATATATATATATATATATACATATATATTCATATATTCATGCGACACAATCACAGTTGCCAAAGAATGGCCTTGGTGATGTTTGCTAAAACGTATGACGATGACGATGACCAGCATCCATCCATCTAACAGTCATACGCAATCACATTCAGGTTGCTCTCTCATTTCTAACAAGACAATCGCACACGTTCGTTCCATGCACATTTTGACATTTTTGCAATGATAGGCACATAGTACACAGAGCGTCCGAGTCTCTTATTCAATGTCCACTGCAAGTCAAAAGAATGTTCTTTGCTGATGGCTCGTACTCGGAATACAGGCAGGTGAGGGACGTTCACTGATGGAACAAAAAGGGAAGCCGCCACGAGTGAATGTGCGCAGGCAACCCACATGACCGGCAAATGTTGCCCAACCGACTGCACTAGAGACATCGCCCACTGTCCTGTAACAGATGTCGAACGGCCTCTGTGTCGGCTGATGTCTCGAGTGTTGGACGTGCATTATGAACGCTGCCAATGTACCACTCGGCCGCAGAGCATTTAATGTGGACCACACCCGAAACCTTTATCGGGCAGTCACGATTCCGAAACAAGTGTGAGGCAATCCTTCGGTGGCAGACCTGGCCTCTTGATCCACATGTTCTGCTTTTGTTATGGTGCCATAGTAGCGCTGTCTGCCCTGGTCCACTCACATCCATTGACTATGCATGTTGTAGCGCCTCTTCGATCATACATTTCAAATTAACACCTCACCGTGGAGACAGGTCCAGGGCAGCTGCATGCTGCGTCATTCATTAAAATGCAGTGTTGGGGCGCCTGGTCTTTACACGCCTCATATGCTCCTCGCTGGTGTCAGCTTTGGTTCAGCAGCGACCAGCCATTGTGGGGGGGAGGGAGAGGTTCTGTCAGCACACAGTTGAGTGACGTCTTCAGTCCCATCGATCCACTGGTGTTTCGTCATCGATGACCTGACAGACGATTGGCTGTCGAGGTGAAGAGGGGACAACGATTGCTCTTCAATGCTGCTACATGGCGAAATGATGCGTGAAAAGCAGTGATTATCTGATTATTTTGAAGGATCTTACAAAATTAAGCTTTTTACATTTTCATGTATTGTTTGATTCAGATGAATTTTCGGCCACGGGCAATGGTCACATCAATGCGAAAGTATCTTGGCCATATTTCATTCAAAACAATCAAATGATTTAAATGACTTACATTCAACAAGCACTTAACGATTTAAAACCTGGCGATTGTGGCGCTGAGTGGGCTTTCTCATCAGAGACGAGTGAGTGGGTGTATGCTTTTGGTTCGAGTGTTATTGCTACAGATACCTACTACTGCACACGATATTTGATTAGGTACAATCTGATGGAGCGCAGACGTGATTAGCATTCACTGATTAATCACATCCGTATCTAATGAGTGGCACGCGACGCGGGTCGAGCCAGTATTTCAATGACTCGCTACACGATTGTTTTGTTAGAGGCCTTTTTATATCCTCCTTTTGTATCCCCTCATTTGCTATAAAGGATGTATTCTGATTAAAGGGACTCTCCCACCTTAACATTAGATTTGAGTTGAGATAGCCAAAATGGGGTCCCTGGCTCACAATTACCGGTTTCGGCACTCACAACATCGAGAAATGCCTTAAATCGGAAATATTGAATTTCAAAATTGCAGCATTTTGATTCAGAGGGGCTAATGCTTAGGAATACCCCTCTGAATGTGTGACGTCAGCGCAGATATCTAACGATTTTCAAATGTTTGACTAAAACGTTTTGTAGCACGCGGTGGTATATGCTATTTGCGCGCAACATCTGCCACAAACGCCGCACTTCTGAAATAAAGTCGCTAGAAACAGCGGAGATCCCAAAAAAGTAAACAAAAGTAAAAGTATAATATCTTGAAAACCGGTGAATATTTTCGGTGAAATTTGGTAGATATTCGTTTTCGCTCTTCCTGAACCGAGCGACATCACTTTCATGCCAATTCATAAACTTTTTTGAAGGTGGGAGGGTCCCTTTAATCATAGCGCTATAAAGCAGCGTTGAGAGTGCAGATATATGCACGTTTAAAAGGTCTCCTAAATTACTTACGCGAGTCAGCTCGTTCGGTGCTGGCGTGTCTGGTAGCAATAAGAACTACAATACTGGTAATAAGGTACAATACTGCCGTCATAACTATGCCACAAATTGTATCTTCAAGTGAGTCTCAGCCGCTCACCTCGGCGATGTTCCCTCGTTCATCCCATCTTGTCAGCTGGGCTACAGCTACATGTCTCGTAATCGTCCTGTTTTATGGATCTCGCAAAATCGTCTATTCACACGCTGCACAGCGCTAGATCAGCGAACGGAGCCGAATTTCTATCGGCGGACGTAAAACGTCAGAGGCTGTTTCAGTGCGTGTGGAAATCAGGGTTTGCCGACTGGAAGAGCCTGCGTGAGGCTATGAATCGACGTTCTTGGCAAGCCTCTTTTCATTGCCTCACAGCTGAATGAAAGGCTACCCAATTTCGGAGAATAGCGGTTCGGAAACGTGTTATTACCAACACTGAATTATTTGCCATTTACCGAAACAAAATGCACGATTATTGATTGTGTGTGGCTGCAAACACATGGCATTTCCGAATCATTGAGTTTACAATGGTGAAGCGTTTTAAAAACAAAAAAAGTTTTTTTTTCAGTACAACATAGCAAGTTACAGATATCAGATATGGACTGTCTTTGGGAGCCGCGAGATCGTAGGTTGTTTTCGTGAGAGCTTTCTGTTTGAAAACCAATTGTTGTCCCTGCTGACGCCCTAAAGAATGGTTTGAATTAACACAAGATTGTGTTCTTGCCGCACCTTTATTGTTTAGCATATAATCAGTGAAAATTTTTGATATATTTCTAAATATCGGTTGTCAGCGTTGTTTTACCTATTATTTCCATTCCATAAGAATAAGTAAATAAATAAATAAATGAATAAATAAAACGTTAAAGCAAGACCCGTTATGAAAGCCTTACATACACCGTTAGCGCGTTATAAACCCCTGTGTTTTTATTGTCAGTCCAACGTTAATTAAAGACAGTTTCATGTTTTGTACTTAACCGTACTGAATGCATGCAGCATGCTATGTTAGTGATTCTCAACCAGTGGTGACCCAGAGGTGAGCGAGCAGGTCCCATCCCCGCTCACCAACCGGAGCGGGACCAGCACGACTAAGGCCTGACGGCGGCAGGTGGGCTGACTGACTGTGGACGAAGACGGAATGGACTGATCACTCTGGTGGACGGATAAACGCGACAATGGTAGTCCCGATGGTGTCGCGGGACTGCCAATTGGGAGATGCTCGCTCAGCTGTATGGTTGTGAATGTTATTGTAAAGGGGGCATTGTTTCCAACATTTGACTTACCATTTTATCGTATCAACTTTCCCAGTATGTCGCTGAAGTAGAGTAACAATTTTCTCATTTTAGTTGCCGAAGCTAGAATTGCGAATTTACTGCAGACACTGCAACATTCCCGACCAGCCGTAATCTTTATACACCTCCGTGTGTTTGGCAACTGCGGTCCCGACTGACCGTACATGTCTCCTTGTGCCCGGCAGCTGTAAGGACCGCGAGTACGGCTACTATGCCGACATGCAGGCCGACTGCCAGGTGTTCCACATCTGCACCCCCATCGTGCACCCGGACGGCTTCGCGCAGAACCTCAAACACAGGTGAGAGACAGAGACAGAACCTCAAACACAGGTGTGAGATATGCTGCTAGCAGAGCTGTCATGTGGTATCTTTCGCTCAGCTGTCCGTAATCCCTCATGGAATGCTCGTAGGAGCAATGTCCAACGACAGCTTCGGAGCACGACTCCTCAGCGTTAACGGCACTCGGCTGGTAATGGGGCATGTGCATCACTGCCAAAACTGGGAGCGCGGAGCAGTTCCGTCGCCGTTCCCAGGCGTGTAAGGAGCAGTGGGACCTCCCCTAAGCAGGGCCGCTGTCCAGTGTCCACATACCGCCAGAGGTATCGTGCAGCGCGCCACGCGTCACCTCTCAGCCACCATTCGGTCCGCGCGGCACGTCCCAACCAACCACACGTCTGCAGCCGCTGGCTCATTATCCCCAATCAGAGGAGCAGCTAATTGACGGTCTATGTACGAGAGCGTGCTGTCGTTAAACCCGGCCGGGTCGTCTGACTGTGACCCGACGCGACGTGACCTGACTCTGGAGAACGCCGACTCGGTCCGTTGTCTGTCCGATGGGGCAATTCTGAATGGCCGGTCCGCTCAGCGTCAGTAGCAGACACATACACTCGACGTGTGGTATCTCCAGGACGCGTGTCAGGGGCGCGTCTCGGATACCCGCGTGCGTACATCTGCATAATTGAGCGCGTGTGGCGCAAATCCGGCCGGCCGGCCGCTCGGGCGGTGTTGCAACTGTGATTACACGGCGCCGGGTGCCTCACACCCTCCCTCGGACAATTACGCGTCGCTTTCGTCGGAGGTCTCGAGGATTGTTAGCGTGCCTGTTCTTCGCAGATACAGGAACCTGTTATTTCAAAGAAACCGGCGGTGATTGTTGTTCGTGTGTGTAATGTATCATTCCATCGGACCTCACATCCACCGTCTATCAGTGCTGATTGTCTGTCGTGATAGTTCCGTCGGTATTTGGTGTGTGCTCCACACGGCAATTTGAGGAGGAAACAGAAGCTTTATCAGCCAACAAGGGTACAGACATAATGATTGCCTGTTCCAAAACCAGCCTGTTTGCTCTAAACGTGAAACGATTATCCATTTTTTTTTTTTCAAATGCGCTTCTAAACAAAGAGCATATTCCCAAGGATTGCTCGTTGCTGATAAAGTTAGCACTATTTAGCATAAATATCCCTATCAATCTCCTGACACCGCCTCTTTCTGCCGCAGCCTCTTCTGCAACAACGGCACGCGGTTCGACCAGCGCACGCTGACCTGCCGCGATGAGGCGCTGGCCCTGCCGTGCGCTGAGTCCGGCGACTACTACGCCAGCGTCAAGTTCTTCGAGAAGTTCGACATCTTCGAGCGCGCCCGCGCCGAGGACGAACAGAGGCGCACCAAGGTCCTGAGCCGGCTGGAGACCCTGGAGGATGTGGAGGCGCTGGAGGCGCAGCTGCAGTAGCTGCCGCACGTCTGTGACCAGGGTGAACGCTGATGAATGCTGAATGGATGCAGCAATGGATGTTTGACGCCTGTGTGGTGGAATGAAAGGTGCCGTGAACTTGATACGTTGTGCGGTTTGTGCTGATTGTCTACTGCTTCAAGGAACTTCCAATTTTCTCACTGCAACAATTTGTGCTGTTGGAGGATTATTGGTACTTTTTCTGCGCACGCGAGTTCATGCCACGTCACTGATGACGGTAGCGAATAGTGATGTCAATTACGGAAAATCGGAATACCGATACCAAACCAAATACCAACCAAAACCACGGGAAAATACCGAAACCAAACCAACTTGGGAAAATGAGGGAAATATCAACTTTTTACCGATTTCTTAGCCTGGTACACATTAGTGAGGGTTTATGATACCAACAAAATACCAAACACATTACGATTGAAATACCAAATACCAAGTTGGTATCGGTTTGGTATCGGTATACCAAAAAGTTGGTATCCGATTGACACCTCTAGTAGCGAATGTTCACATCTTTGGTCCTTTTATCGATGCAATGTGTTTGTTGTGGTGCACTGAAGGTGTCGACAATTACCCTTGTTGCTGAGTGCGTGAGGGTCCGTGTACTGGTTTATTTCTCTTGTTACGGAGGTGTCGCAGAACCTTACTTTGCTTGCCAGCTGGTTGATCTATATTTAGCTATAAAGATAGTGACGTCTCCTAAACCTAGTTATTTGTTTCGTATCACTTTCCGTACCTTTTCCTGTAGTTCAACAAATTAATTCGGACAGGCATGAGCCCAACATTTTTTGGGGTGTGATGGCTTGATGTGAATATTGTTAAGGGTATGATTGGAAAAGGTGCACCCCGACAAGCGAATGCTGTTTTAAGACGAACATGTCATGAAGTGAAACTTTTGTAATAAAGACAATGAAGAAGGTGGAAGTGTTTGAGTCAATCGGCGGGTGATGTAATGGCCAGAAATGAGACATTAGTGGAAAAAATAAAACATCGTGAGGTAGCTTACTTATCATAATTGTGTCGTATTACTAATTACTAGCCTGAAAACGATGCTTAGGGTGTTTCAAAAAAGAATTGTTAAATTATTAAGCTGAAAATTTGGAAATGCACAAGAAAGTGGAACGATAAGAGAATACAGGTAAACATTTATCATAATTATAGCCGTTTTCACGACAGCCATCTGGTACGCATTTGGTGTAGATCAGGTGCAGATTTGGTGAGAAGGTGCATTCGCCAGACAGCCCGTCGTGGAAACGACTCATATTCACTTGATCATAAACTGATCGAACAGGAGCCTCTCTGACAAATCATCCACGCAAATAGTTTTACACAAGCATCCTAGGTATAAGATGCATGCATTCACACCGCATTAAATTGGATACGTGCTTGCTAAAACAAGGGCTTAGCACTCTATAGACGAGCTTAGGACAAATATAACCTATGAAAATAAGACATTTTTCGTACATTTAGGAGGTGCAATTCAGGGTTCCAGGAGGTGCAAAAGTGCTAATAGGGGATATTTGTACCTCAAGGCTGATAGGTTTGATCACAGTTGATCAGACTTGCAACAGACTTGAGACCTGAACATTGAACAAGGCTTGAAATAAGATGTTGACCTATCGCACTATTTGTAGCTGATTCAACTTAAATTAATGACCAGGACGGTTCTTCATGTAAACGATCAACTAATGAGCAATGTATACCTATTACTTTGCCTGAAAACATTTAGACATTAAATATAACGCTCTGTAGCACTATAAATAGTAGATTTTGATAGCAGATGGCACAACAGATTATGATAGCTAATTTAAATGTCACACGAAAACAACTCGGATTACAGAGACTGATATATTGACTGCGAATGATGCATGACAATTTAAACAAAACGCTTAACAAATGTCGCACAGCGGTCGATGCCGCTGTTTGACTGGCTTTGAGGGGGGATAGTGCCTCCGACATCATGCAAATGAAACGTTGAATAACATTGGTTGATTTTAAGGTTGGTCGCACACAAACTTGACGATTTTATAGCTATTGCAAACTAGTTATACCTATTGCATGCACCGTGCAATGATCATGTACCTACCGCTAAATCCTTTTGAGCATAAATCACATCAAAGTTAAGCAAAAACCGAGGATGAGTTCCGAAAAGCGAATATCTCCATTCACGAAGCAAGTTCCTCCCGGTTTAGGATTTCAGCGATTGACAAGCAAAAATGGCCGTGGGCTTTCCTCAGTACGCTTAACCAGTCCCAGGAACCTGCAAAACAACAGGCTTCGTCCTTCGGCCTTCCACCGATAATCCGTAGTGATGGAAATAGCTATAGGCAAAAGCACCGGGACATCACTTGGCCTCCATCGCCGACCCATTGGCAGAAGACGGCAGTCGAGTGTCCGGATCGAAAGTCCCAGAAGGTCGCCGGTCGCCCGCGGATCCCCAATCCGGACCCCCCGCCGGTGTGCGGCCGTAAGCTGTCGTGTCAGATTTCAGCCCCCGTGACGCAATGAAGTGTCGGTGGGTCCAGGTGCCGGTGTCCAGTTCTGGTGTCGGTGGGTCTGGGTGCCGGTGGCTCCCGGCTCGGCAGCCACTCCAGTGCAGTGGTCCACCAGATGCCGTGAAGCCTGCATTGTTATAGGCTATAGCGGTGGGTCAGCACATGACCATTAAATAGCTGACACTAGTCGAGGTCATCCAGGGTCACGTGATCAGGTCGGACGGTGTCGTTGGTCGGTGGTAGACGGATCTGCCAAGTGTGAAAATAGACTGAGGGATAATCTCTGTGTTTAAGTGCGGATCCAACCGGCACAGGCTTTCCATTTCGGTAGCACACTATTCCGATGTCCGGACGTAGTGGTCAGGTCACGCGTCTTCTCAAGAATCCAGTCTGGTGTTCGGAGGGTCACCTGCCCACTCGGATGTCCTGTCAGTCTCAGCTCTCCACCTTCGCTCGCCTGGAGGCCCTGATACGGTGGCAGGGTCGGACAGACATACGTCACCCTGGACCGCAGCGGCGGCGGCAGGCGGCCCGGAACATTCCCCACCCGTCTCGGACCGCGCTGGGAGGTGTGAGCTGAATATGTATGGCTCCCGACGTCCGGTCAGCATGGTCCACGCTCGGCCACGGGCCAAGGTCGCGGTGGGGACGGCGCTGCGCCTCTGCCGCCGCCGGGAGAGGACTTTCACTGCGGTGGGCTCGTGGCGGTCCCCTCCGGTCCGGTCAACCGGCTCCCTCCCTCCCGGCCGGGCTGAGGGGCGCCAGGTGTTCTCAGAAGCCGTGCGCGGATGTGACCACGCGATCGGCGAGGATGGGGCTTAGTGGGCAGTCCTCGCGGCCATGAGCCGGCCGGGTGGCGAGCTGGAGCTGTTCCCTCGGCTCGCCTCCAGCGGCAGGTGCCGGATACAAACAAACCGGTCCACAATTACCGCTCTTCGTGCCGGGAGAACCGGGCAGACGGGTTGTCCGCTCATCCCGGGGTGCGGCAATCAGCACCGGCGTGCATTATGTGTCGGCGAGGGCGACCGGTCATCAGTTACCAAACTACACGGCTACATCGCTAGTCACTACCCCGGTCACGTAGCGCATGGGCCGAGGCAAGACGTCACACACAAACTCCTCCGGTGACAGCGGGCCCCTCTCGTGCTGTCCGGTGTGCCTGATCCTCTGCTGCAGCTCTGCCCCCGCGAGGGGCGCTGGGACCTCGGGACCTCAGTCGCCGCCCCCCTCCTGTAGCGGCACTCGCAGTCCGTAGAGGCGCTGGTCAGCGGCGCAGAACGGCGAGCGGCAGTGGCGCGGCCCGTGCACGTGCCGTTTGCCCACGAACACCCTGGACGCCTGTGGTGACGGGTTGGGGAACGGCTGGGATATGCCCTCGGGCGGCAGATCGGCAGGGTGCAGCGGCTGTGGACCCACGCGGATGCACGTCTTGGAGCGCAGAGGACTGCAGCAGCCGCCCAGGCAGGAGCACGAGCTGCCCATGGTCATGGCGCGGAAACGGTGCGCAACATGCTGCTCTTCAATCCGAGTATTTGGTTCAACAGCTATTTTCGCTTTCGTTGATTTTTCTTCTTGTTGATTCAATTACTTCATAGTGCGGCAAAGTTTTCAAACGTCGATAACTCAAAATTTGTAGCAGCTCAGTTTAACTATTAATTTTATTTAAAAGCGAAACTTTAACCACTCGAAATTTTGGGAGTATCCGCTTTCGCCTCAAAAGTTTAGCACTTGACAGGAAAAAGCGTACTTTAACACGTGATTTATTATCCAAAATACCACTTATCTCATGAACAAGAATGTTGAAGACGAACAACGTGCCTAACTGTAGGTACGATGATTATCTTATTGACCATTACTCCTTTATTTAGGCAGATATCGGCTTGCACCGTCTTCTCCCGCCATAGACATCAAATGGGAGGCACCACTACGGAACCAGTGATTCAAATCAAAATGGTGTAACATTTTCTGAAGCATTTTGATTAAAGTAGCGAAGATTATAGGTGGTGACCTATTTTCAAAATAATCACAATGTCCAAATTACCTATAGATCAGGTTTTTCGTTCTATTACATATATTCCGTTTTTTTTCAAAAAGTCAAAAACTTTTTGAAAAAATGTAAAAATGTAAATTTTGAATTTTATTATGTAAAATTTTCGAAATTTTCAAAATTTCGAAAATCCGAGATAACAGTTTGATAGCGCAGTCTATTCTGAGTCCTCTCATGCAAAGAAATTGGATCTAGCTTAAAAACTGAGCCCTTGGGAGCGATTGCCGTGGTTCAATGTTTTGCGTCGAAATCGGCCGAACATGACGTCACTCTGACGTCATTTCCGGCCGACCTATGGTAGCTACGAAATTCAAATTTTGACACAAGATGTCAAATTGATGCAGCCAAAGGTACTGAAAGTTTGGCGTCGATACGTCAAGCGGTTTGGAAGTCATTGCAGAAAAACGGGAGGGCGGCTATGAATAGCCCCCCCCCCCCCCCCCAGTGGGGCGCAGGTTAACGTTCGCCTCAGTGGGGGGGCATATGTTACCACCCTGTCGCGTTTTTTGCGTGTGAATAAAAAACCGCGGCGCGTAGCGCCGCGCCGCTTGGGGTTGCTTTTTGTACATTAATTTTGGACAATGTGTGAAAGTTTTGACCCCTGTCATGTCAGGTCAGGTCACCAGGTCAAGTTAACTGACCAAGCCTAAAAATGTTTGCAATCCTCTCCAGCCTGCAGTGTTTGTCAGAAAGGTTTGAAACTTGGTGGATTGCATGATCGTATGGGCGCCTATAATTTTTATGTCTCGGATTTTTATATCCGTGACCTAAGGTCAGGCCAGTGGCGTGACCTTACCATTATAAGTCAATGGAGGAAAATGAAAATGCCTCTAGATTCGTGTGTACGTATAGGAACAGTCCAAATACTTCAAAATCACAATGATTTGGACCATCCGTGACGACCATGGTGTCTTTTTTGCTGATAGCCCCTAGAAAGGTCATCCGAGGTCATTAGAGGCTACAAACAGATGTTTACCAATAACTCTCGATTGGAAAGAGATAGGACGCTGGGGATGGTCTCATTGTGTTTGTCTTGCCGAGACACATCGACTGATATGCAACATGACCTTTTCCGGTCAGGTCATGACCTTGACCTGAGGTCAAATTTTCAAGTTGACCTTTCAAGGTCAAATTATAGTTCAGTCGATGCGTCTCGGCGAGAGGAACACGATTCTGGCAATAGAAATGACGTGAACTTTTTAAGTCAAAAGTTATTGTCGAAAAACACTTTTCGTAAAAACAGCTATTTTTTTAGTTTTTGCCCTCTGGAGGCTAAACCGTTGACCTGAGGTCAATTTTGATGATTACCTTATCGAAAGAAGAGTTCAAGAACTATCGATTGCGTTTCCATGCGTTTTTTTAGCTATCATAGTTCC